TTCAACTCCAATGGTTACGATGCTATTCAAAAAGGGGTGCGAGTTTGAATGGCACCCATCACACCACTCAATATAACATAAAACTGGCTACACTAATGGTTCCTGATGAAAAGGACCGAGGATTTCCCGCAGGTTAAATTTCAAACCAGATATGTAGAAAGTCACAAACATTCTGATTCATGAGAAGGTTCCAGCATTCTTGCTCAGTGGTTCGATGACCACTGTGGACGTTGCTAAGTTGTTCGATGTCTTTCGGCAGCTGATGCCCGAATGTGAACCTCAGACTTTGGTGACAGACGAAGCCGCGTGCTTCTGGAATGGCTACCGCCTGCTGTTCTCCACATCACACACACGACTGCACTACTGCAGGATGCATATGTCTTAGACGGAGAAGAAAAACCCGAGTATTATTAGAGGTATAGGGTTCCAGCTGATGTAATATACAAGCATGTGATGAATTTCACTTGTTTAGGCTTTTCTGTGGCCGTCTGTAGAGCAAGCGCTTGAAGAATTGCTAAGAGAAAGTCAGCAACCCTATAACAGAGATCAGCTAAAATTCTTGCTTTTCTCGGATCTAAGAACCAGGTGGAAATGGCTGAATATTTGGCGAAGAGCTATCTAGGTGTGCATAAGAGCTTTGCCGTCTCTGAATGTCAGAAAAGTCTGAATCTGTTATAGTAGCCATATTTTAGGGAGAACCACACTTGGCCTTCGTTTTCGAATAAAGGGTTCGTCATGGACACTACTATGTTAAGTGAGAGATGGCATAGGACCATCAAGGAAGATATTTTACATAGAAACGCGAATTCCCGCCTCATTCATTTTGTTGACATGCTGATAAAGGGCTCAGAAGGCAGGTCAAATCCCACTGGAATCATGATAGTAGCTCTCCTTTTTCCCTTCCGTTGACAATCAACTTTTGCAACGAAAACGGTATGCATGAACATTCAGGATCGCAGAAGACTAGCAAGATCCTCTTATCGCGCTCTGGAAACAAATAAACGTCATCGGAAAGCTGTTGCATACTATGCAAAACGTCCTCAAAAAATACGTTTCATTGGAAACTTCACATGGGAACTGGAGTCCTTCAAACCCGGTGAACTCTGCACGGTCAAATGGAAGAATAGTTGCACATGCAATCTTACAGGATCCTGTAAAAATATTTCATCCTGTTTGCGTACAGAGCACACGCTCTTTCGGAGTAATCACACTGCTTTCAGTGCGGTATATGGTACTCACTCATGGGAGTGAGATCGTCTCGATAGTCGAAGTGGGATTTGCTGCATGCACAGACACGCTATGAGATTCTTTGGCGCTCATAGTGACGAGGCTATTCCTTCGCAGACTGCGGAATACTTCACTCTTGGTGACCCAACACATCCGGAGCTCTCTCCAGAGGATACTGAGGAAGAAACAATAATAAATATTGAGGAGCAAGATACAGTGACTCCCGCCTAAGAGCAGAGAGATCGACGACTTCAACTTTTGAATTCGATAGAAAGTGTAGGATTTCCAGATTTGAAAATTTTAGGTACTTTTGCAATTCTGCTAACTTCAGGCATACTCAGTTATTCGAATGAGGGCGAAGGCATTACTGAAGCACGACGACGACGAAGCGGTGGAGGCACTGGAAAAGATTCTACAATACATGAACCTTGCAGTGTCCTGCGCATCGAGGATCGCTTCTGAACTAGCGCCACGTTCAGAACTAGCGCGTGAAGGACCAAACTTCATCTCAGTAAACCGCTATTGTATCCGGTAAGTTCAGAGTGAAGTACATAATTCTGCTTTCCTTTATTACATTTTATTCATTAGGAGCACGTACAGTCAACTTCATCCCATCTCGCAAGGTAAAACGCGTAAAAATCGACCCAATTTTCGTGGTGCAAAAGCTCGACGCACTAAACACACTAAAAGATGCACGCTACCGTAACCCTTAATTCGGACGCCGAGTTTTTAAAAGTTTATTTTCCTTTTCAAGAGTTTTCTTCCGTGTTTTTGTTGTTTTCCGTATTCTTTTTTTTGCATTGGATGATATCCATTACTGGGAGATGCGAAAAAGGGATTTGTGAGCCAGGGGTTGCACAATGACCGCAGGGCTGTGTGACTGACAGGGAGCGATCTTGTTTATGGTGTTCTTGAGAACTCTTCTTGCTTTTTCTCTTCTTTGGAGAATTACTTATCAGCTACTGTTTCGTAATTGAAAAGCAACTATCCATGACACTTTTATCGCGGGAGCTGTCTTTAATCGAAGTCGAAGTCAAAGTCGGTCCCCGATCTCAACGAGCTCGTCCGACTAGCGAGGAGAAATAAAGAATAACAATAGC